TCTCTCCATACAGAAAGAGATATTTGGGAATTCCGCCAGTGTGTCAAGTTGACCAGAGAGATCTTTGCTCAGAAAGCTTTTGAAAAATTTCGCGGGCCTGAAGTACAACCAGGAAACCATGTTCAGTCTGACAAAGAAATAGATGCTTTCATAAGGCAGAAGGCCGATAGTGCTTATCATCCCTCCTGCACCTGTAAAATGGGTCAGCTTTCAGATAGCACTGCTGTAGTTGATCCCCAAACAAAAGTAATTGGCGTTGAAAACTTGAGAGTAGTAGATGCTTCAATAATGCCCAGTGTTGTCAGTGGAAATTTGAATGCCCCAACTATTATGATAGCAGAGAAAGCTGCAGATATAATTAAGGGCCTCCCATCGCTTCAGGAGAAAAATGTTCCCGTATATAAGCCCAAGACCTTGGAAACACAGAGATAAACAAATGTTCTCATCCTTTCACATCTTTTGCTACTTAGGCTTTCATCAGCACGTTGGTATCTCATACCGAACATGCCAACAAAATAAATGCCATGCAAAACAACATCTCCTATTAAAATAACTATTAATTTGAACCGTTCTCTTACATTAGACTACCTATTCATTTTTTTTAATCAGTTGGCTTAAGCTGCTTATTTTAGTTAAACATGACCTTTTGCAGTACAGTTCAGATTTTTTGTTGAAGAGAAGCTGTTTCTAAATGACAACAGAGTTGCGCACATAAGCCAGAAATACTGTGCAATTGCACGAGGAATGGAAGGTATTAATGTGCGCTATTTTGAAAATCATTATGGTATGCCTTGTTATTTAAAGGAAGGATTTTAACTGCTGTGAGAGCGTCACCCAGGATAACAGCTAGTCAGTAATCCCCACGTCCTGCAAAGAATGGTTAAGTAAATGTAAGCATTTATGCAATTTCATATGCACAGGCCAAAGTAGTTCCTATCAGAATTCATAGGAGAGAGAGGAACCTGCATGTGTTCGGAATTTGTCAAATGTGTTTTTTTCTGAGAGGAATGCACAGTTTACAAAGCCTCACTGAAGGTTAGACTTCACCATACTTCGCAGTCTTAACTGTACAGTATCCAGGAAGAAGATATAAATTGTATTTATCAGAAACTTATTTTTCTAAAAAATGCAGAACAGGAGCAGATATTTATAAAAATATACTGGAAAACTGGAATTTCTCCTTGCTTTTTTCGCAAGGAGCTTAGTAGAATTCAGTTCACAATTTAAGCTGATTTAGTTGTTCCACTTCATCATTTAGCACAGTAAGAGAGCTGCACTTCCTGTAATGTCCTTAAAGTTACTGGTCTTTGCTCAAAGACGAGTGTTTGCAAAAGATATTTCTCAGCAAATACTCTGAATGGTGCCTTACTCTCACTCAAATTTTATTACAAAAACTACAGCCAAGCTAGATTTAAGATGAAAGGTTACCCAAAATAACTGCATAAGGTCAGACACTGATGATACGGGAAGAGATCTTTTTAAATTAGAAGGCAAGTAACTTATTCAGTGAACCAATGCTGTATTTTAGTTAGGACTTAAATCTTTGTTTTACTATCTTCAGATGCGTAAAGCAAGGTACATGATCTTTCATGACTGTTTTCTGTGTCAATCTTTCAGGTACTGATTTAAAAAAAAAAAAAACCTAAAGAAATGGAACTCACTGAATGAAATTTAATCCATTGACTTGTTTGGATTTATTAAGTATTCCAAAATAACTTCTGACTAAGCAGCTGTCAAATTATAAAGTAAAAGCTTCTGTAGCCTAAGATTGCTCTGGACTTGTGGTAAACAGAATAAACTTTTTGCAGAAAAAATGGAATTTTACACCATTTGAGCAGATTGTAAAAAAACTTGCTGAGTCAGATGTTGGCTAGAGGGACAACTGCAGATGTTTAAGGCAGATACGTCCACCTGGTGCTGCTTACTGTAAGGCAGTGGTTGGAAGCCCTGCTGCTAACTGAGGGAAAGGACTTAATTCGTTAGAATATCTGCATGAAGACAAACAAAAATACTGAAGATGGAAGATGCTAGCAGTGACCTCTGCTCCAAAAGGAGGCAGGTAAACCCTTTCTATGTATGGGATGCATTCTTTTGGAATGAGGGGAAGAGCAAGAATATTTTCAGTCATAGGTGATTGATCAGCTGTGTTAATAAGACAATTCATCCGATGCAACTGTGCGTTTGAGGAAAGCATGAACTGTGTGTGGTGTACCTTTTTATGGCAAATAATTTTTATTCAGCACCTGTGCTTTTGAGATTTTCATTTAAAGGCATTCAGTAGGTACCTTAGTGTCATTTGGAATACAAAGTATTGGGATGCTCAGAGTAATATATACTGGTGAGACTTACCACAGTCCTGTGCAGTTGAGAGGGGAAGCAATTTGGAAAGACGGCATACCAAAGTGCCTGCATTTGCAGATTTGCAACACGGGTTTCCACTCTAGGCATGCAAGATGGGAATTGTTATTATGCAACTGCAGAGGATTAACTAGCCACTGTCTTACGCAACTTACTACTGACCACGCACAGAGCTATCCTCTGCCATTATGTCAGGCTCTAAAAAGATGAGGAAATAGCCAGGTTAGAGACACATGCCAAACTGCACGTGTGTCTTATGTTCAGGTACGCATTGCTGCATTGTGCAATCAGATAATCGGGCATTTCCTCTGAAACATCATCATCTTTTCTTGCAATTCTAAACATACATAGCCACCCTGCAGGTTCCTCCCCTTCTAAACACTTAAAATATTTTCAGTGCTGTGAACCGCAGTTGCTTTATTAATTTAGGCCTCACTGCTACAGAATGTGGAAGCTCCTTCGTGACATTCCTTTGAGGCAGTGCTAAAGAAATGGCTCAGGTATTTGAAAGTGCTGTTGCCCCGGGGAAATCTTTAGGTAGCGTCAAGCTACCATTAGTTTCTCCTGCATTGTATCTGGTTTCTGATAGTGAATTCCTGTCAAAATTGTTCATACTTCTAGCAGAGTCAAGTCTGCTAAGGGATAATTAGAACAGGTACAAGATATTCTAACGTGCTCTGTGGAGCACTGGCAGTCTGCTAGCTAAAATTAACCATCTTTTACACCTTACTGGATTGCAGAACACAGGCTGATAATTCCAGGGTTTTACTTATTTAACAAAATAATACAGTGTATAATTGAATATTATTCCCAGTTCTACCCAGATATAAATTTTTCTATAAATGCGCAGATGATACTACATTGTGTATTCAAAACCAGTTAACTGTAAAAGCTGCTTAAGTAAGAATTTGGAAGTTACTAGACCTGCCAGCACGGCTTGAACCAGCAACGGTGCTGCGAGTGAGAACACCAGCATTTCCATGGCAATAGCTTGCTGAGATGCTTCAGACACAGTTGGAGGTATCTGGCTGGGGACAATGAGATTAAGAAAGAAAAGTGACCAAAAAGGTTTCTTTTGTACACATATTTCAGTTCAAGTTGCTTTAGTATGAGAAGTGCTTTTAAAAGCAGCAGAAAATAGCAGTATTTGTAAAACTGCATTATATTTAACTTATGTAAGGCCCCTCAAGGTTTTGTACACCAGAACTTTTGACGTTTCTGCAGCTTAAAATCCTTTCCAAGTGTCTGATTTCAATTAGTCTGCAACCAAATGAGGCAGCTATATAAACACTGGAAAACTGGGAAGTGGGCTTGGAACATGCATTTTCTATGAAATAAACATAGAAACATATTTTGAGGAATAATAAAAGCATTTATGCATTTTTTTAAATTATAGTTAAAATGAAGAGTTGCTGTAGAGAGAACACAAGCATATCTTATTACAGCATTGTTATTTGTAGTCTCTATTCTTCTGTCATCCAAGCTCCAAAAAAAGACACTGTTCAAATATGAATATATTTTATATATTCACTTTTTCAGTGAATTCACTGCACTGTAAAAGACTTAGCAACGCTTAATTCTTTACTAATGTTTTCTGTCACTATAGACATGTATAAACAAATCTGGAAACTCATGAAATATGCTTTAATTGTTGAGATAACTTCTAGTTCTTCTGTACTGAGTAATTACTATGATTGGCAGTACTTTAAGGGTGCCAATTACCATGTAATTGTGCATATATTGATTACTTTTGTCCATACGCTTCTGTAATAAAATTGAACAGGTTTTCTATGATCCATACATACGTATGTTCTCCCTTAAACCATTAACTATATAGAACATGGTTTGTAACTAAATTTCCTTCATGATTTATTTTTGTAAGGACTGTTTTCTCATAAAATAGCATATCTGCCCTAAAGCGTCTCTCACCAGACTACCGAAAGCTCAGGACTAACCATACTAGCAAGAAGATACAGCAAAGACAGCATATTGTTTTCTGTCTCCTTGGACAAATGATTAATTAAAAAGATTGCCGTTCAGCTCAATCTGCCAAATTTGATGTGCTGTCAAAAGTCCATCCAGTTAAGTAACCTGGTCTGGGATTTTTCCCTCCTTTTTTTTTTCAATGTTCAACTTCAGTTGCCTTAAAGGTGGTTTTCAGAAGTGGGTATCCCACAGTAGGTGGAACTTTGAAAACTACTCATTGTTATTTCACAGTGACACCAGACCCAGAAAGCTCCATTTTGGTCTCCTGAAGTTTGTTTCTGTAAGCTGGGAAAGTGTAACGAAGTGACTACTGCTGGGTAACCTACCCAAGTGTTTCCTGGCAGACAGCATGAGATCTGTTTTGACGTTTTAGGGGATTTTAGTCAGATTTTCCTAATTGTTTCCACAGATCTGTATCTAGGGAAGTAATAATCCCCTAGATAGTAGGGGAGTAATAGTACCCTTTTCCATATGAATACTCTAATCACTTTATTTCTTTCTGGTTAACAGCAATCATTCATAAAAGACTTGCACGCTATGATAGCGTAGGCCGATGACTATATTCCACACATTCCCTTCCATTCTTCAAACAGCACAAGCAGAATTTAACCTTTGGAGCTTCTTGGTGGAAAACTATTAGTAAAAGGAGTCCCAAGTATAATAAAATTATTACACCGTTTTATTTTGAAGAACATTTTGCATTTGTTTTAATACAAAATGATGTAGGTCAAGAAATAATTTACAAACCTTTAAGTTCTTATCCTGGCATTTGAAATAAGAATGATTTCAGAGGAAGTCTGTAAGCTATTCATAGGAAACTGTCATTATGTACAAAATGTTTATTGACATGTTTTAAACATCACATTTGTAAAAATGTGAACTGGGTTGCTATCTAGCATATGAACTACAGGTAAAACCTGATAAGATAACTTGTCAGAACAAGTCATTGTTATCCAGTGGTAACAAAATAGACAGTAGCTTTCAGTGTTTTTTGATTTTCCTCCAAGGTTGTATTAGCCTCAAAGTCATTTCAGGGTTTTACTGCATTGTGAACGGTATCTAAGCCCTCTCTCGATTGCATAAAAATAATCTTTGAAATAGTACACATAGAACAACAGTAAGGTAGAGGCAATAAAATAGTATACTTCTTATATCAAGGTTTTTGGTTCTGTGAAGAAGCATTTCATCATATTTCCTTTCCTCCCAAGCAGAGTAAGTAGTACTGAAGTAAAGCATTTTCATTTACCTGTGAAATATTTTCTGCCCAAGACGCTTCCTATCAACGTAGGGTATGTGGGTAATACACTTTGTCAAAACTAACTGTCTCATGACCAGTAATAAATACCCTGGCATGAACTTGCCAATTTTTAAATGATTTTAATACTTATTTTTAGCATGGGATTAATACAAAAATAAAATCAGAGCTTATTTTTCAATCAAAAAAGTTAAAATAACTTTAAATCTTTTACCTTTCCAAGTATAAGACTGTAAATAGTCAACTGTGCATCCCTTATGCAGAGAGATTCGACTCAATTATTTAAAAAAAAAAAAAAATCTGTTCTGTTGCCAAGTTCAAACTTGACACTTTATCCCAAAAAGAGATTTACACTGAGAGGTGGCTCTATTTAAATATTTATGCTATAGATCTATATATTCCAAGTAAAAATACTTCTATCTAGAATTCTGAGGAGAGTTACAATAATTAGGGTCCATAAATATTGCTGCAGTTCAATTACGGTACAATAATTACAAAATATAGAACATCTCTTTACAAATACAAATCATCGTATATTACAATTAATTTACAATAATTTCTACTATATAATTTTTAGCAAACTATCTTATCTAATTCTACTATAACCTGGTTGCAAGTGCATTAGTAAGAATGCAATTATTCCAGTATATTTTGCCCTTAACGTGATAGTCATAAAACAGACTATCTGAATGATATTTTCCTATGTAAACTGGTGTTACATATGACAGATTATTCTTTATATAACTTCTTTTTCCAACGATCTCTAACAGGTAGAGCACAACAAACTGTATTTTAGAAGAGCATTAAGAAAAGAAATCAGGAGGCAAGTTTGAAAACAATGTTAGAATGGATATGCAACGGGTAGCTGATATGCTATCGAGTACTGAGGTAATGACATTATTGGTTGTCATCACTCATCTCGTGTTGCTATTTCCCACGCAATTTTGTGCCAGACTTACACGGACATTTTCACTGACAGTATCCTGCTCTACTATGAAGGACAGCAGCACAAGGTTGAAAGACAGGCAAGATATTACACCTCAGAATCCCGCTCTAGCCCTCAAAAAACTGATTGTCACAATCTGCTTGGTTTCAAAATAACCTTATTCCTACAGAGGAACTGAAGATTCTGTGGGAGGAGACTTGACGTACTGCAGCTCTGATCACATTTCGGCAACCTGGAGATCATCAATTTATTAGTTATGGCTTCCTTGAGGTGTGACATCACTTGTACAAAACTTGATTGGTTATTCACTCCAGCTAGTGCCTAGCATCTTTAAACTATGAGGCACTTTTTCTGTTATTAGAATCATTTTCCTTGCTAAATACTATAAGCTTGTAATGCATATCATTTCATCGGCTAAGTCTTCTTCATATCGTCCCGTTTCTGGTTCTTCATCACTGTAGCCAGGACCAAAATCCTGAAGTTCATAATCTTGTCTGCTTAAAATGGGAAACATGTCCCCATTGGTCCCATTGCTGATATTTCCATTGAGAAGATTACTTGCTGCACTTTCCATCTCATCAATAGTCATGTCACATGCATCAGCAATCTCGTGTTTTGTAGCTGAAACAAATTTAGGGTCCTTTGCATACCTTCCTAGGCCTTCAGATATAAGCACCTGGCAGATGGAGGGGAGAGAATGAGATACACGGTGGAAATACAGAAGAGCAGACAGGTCATAACAACGTTTCTCATTTGTGGAAAATACTAGAAACCCCATGCTGAATCACTACAGCAACCCACCACAAAACTGCCTGTGTAAAGGACACTCAAATCAAATCGACAATCAAATGGCTCCAAACCACACTGCGTCAGTTATGTGACAATGTAACTGCTAACGCAATACATCGGACTTGTCTCTTTAGAAATTTGGGAGTAGTCTTTGATAAACATCAGTCATGTGGCTGATATACTAAAGACAACAGTTGATATATCGCAGATGGTGCAATTAGAACAACTGCCTGAAACACAGAATTCTAGATGAGTTCTCGGTACTTTACATGGAAGCAAGATGCTGAAGTCCCATTTGCTAATAAAATGTAACAAAGTTATGTTGTTTAGCTCATAGCAATGGAAAGGAAGTGACAGATGGAAGCAAGAACAGAAATTATGATTCAGAAATGCTATATGCTCTTTATCTTCAAATCTTTTTTTAATATAAAAGGGAACTCTCAACATTCTTTAGTCCACCTACAAATCAATCCTTGTAGTTGTTACTCACCTCTGCATTTGGTACCCTGAATCATAGAGCTCTTGTTCTTTTATTCAGATTACTGCAAAAATGGTGATGTATTTCTATAGAAACACCAGAGAGAACCGGCATATGCATCATCTCTTCCCTATCAGCCATTGTGGAAGGGCACTTCATAACTTCATCAAGATCTTCATCTAGAAAACTTAAATTTCAAATCTCTCTGAAATCCCTCCAGTTCTCTGACACACCAACGTTGAGATTTGGATTCAGTAGAAACCCTTCACTACATGACAACTACAAATAAGTTCCCTTGTCTTTACCTAAAAACAGTTTTGGGCTTTGAAACTGAAAATACCCCATTTTCAGAGAGAGAATGTGGACTGAACTATATGCTTTTTAAAGTTAACAGAAAAACCAAAGAGACAGACACTCTTGGCTACTTCAGAGGTTTCTGTAATACTTACCGCTTCTACCAAACTGTCTGCACTCCTCTGTTTGTCACTATGCCTAAAGTCATTAGGTACAGTTAAACTGGCTGGTGTAAATGTTCGGTAGGAAATATCAGGGTCATCTGTGTACCAAGAGCTCCGGTGCAAGGAAGGCAGGCTGCCATTCATATGTTCTGTCGATTCAGCCCTATCAACCTGGATTAGAGGTGTGTAATAGGGAGTACGGTCCCTGTTGGGAGGGGTTGCAGGTGGGGTAGCCCAGGAACGCGTTGAACGACTTGGTGAATGTTTATGAGCTTTGCTGGAATCCAGACCTGCAACAGCCATGACCTGGTAAGGGGAAGAGTTTTAGAAGTTAGTGGTTTCAAGTGCTCTGTCATACGCATTTCTCATTTCAGCAGTTAGTTCAAACCAATCGTTCAGGCAGCAGCTATGCAAAGCTAGCATTTTCTGATGTTTAATAGTCATGTGAAGGAGGAACAGGACTGAAAGTGGTAAATTGACTGAATAAAGGGGTATTTTTTCTATTATTACTGGGATCACAAAATCTTGGTATTAGCATTAATACAGAAAAGTAATTGCTTATACAATATATTAAAAAAAGAAAGCAAGGCGTAGAAACATTCCTCCTGTCCTGTAGGGACAGGATAGGAAGCTGTCAGCATTTTCCAAGCATTCTGGATGGTGTCTCCAGACTATGGAAACTGCCATCTTCCCAGGGCCACGTCAGAGCTGGCACTGAGCCTCAGAAGATGCGTATGTTGTACTTGCAAATTCTCACAAACGGAGCTGAGTAACTGCATAGGCAAAGATTAATAGACAGTTGCCGTATTATGCAGTCCTGGTCAAAATTCCTTAGGGCATCCCGACACTTAGAGTCATAGGGGCGAACTACTCATTTTCAATGTTTTGTAGAAGGTCGATGTTTGAGAAGCCTCGTGTCTAGCAACTACAAGCCTACACCTGGCCTAGAAGTCGTGTGCAGGTAAACTACATAGTACACCAGTACTGTTTCAAACAACAATGAAAGTCAGAGGTATGATATAGAAGCTGGAAAAATGTAATTCGTTATTAGTTAAGTAAGATTTTGTGTTTACCTGCTGTTGCATTAAGTGAAGTGGTAAAGCAGTGCGATGGTGGAAATTAGGAGAGAGTGGTATGTCATCTTGACTACTTTGTCGGCGGAGGCATTCGAAGTTAAAGGAAGATCGCCTATTTGCTACAGGGAAACCATAATTGATTAGGAAGATAAAATACTTTTCCTCCAAGTCTATTATTTCCAGAGTTCCAGTGTGAGCCAACTATCACACAAATAAAAACACATCCGGCAACAAGAAATGAGTTGTGCTAACAGAAGCAAGCAGCTGGTTATAAGATAAAGGATAGATTCATCGTGTGAGCAATGCAGCCCTAGGTAGAAACCATACGAGCAGCCTAACACGGCAGAATTTGAAGCAGCTGTTTCACAAAGCAAGCTTGTGTTATGCAGCAGACTGGTTCAGACGCTGAACTTCAGAGTTTTGCTGCAAACTGCTGTGAACAGTTACAAAGAAGAGTTTCTTCTTTCTTCCCCATGGTTTTAAACTCTTCCTTCTAATGAACCAGACTTCCCAAAGGAAATACCAAATCCCCAGTTCCTTGGAAGCAATATGTAATACGAAAAACCATATGCAAGTCAAAGTTGACTCATGTTATCAATTCCTGATGTTTATTCTGTTACTTATGACAATGATAAGCCATGGTCTCTGCTGTTACGTATGCTGTTATTACTCCTGTAAATGCTAGAAAGGAAAAAGTGGAAATCTAAACTGCATCAAGATGTTTGGCTGATGTGGAAATGTTTCAGCTGGTCTTGGTGAAAGCCTAGGGAACGATGGGAAGCAGCGCATGGTATCGTTCCTCTGTGTTAGCTTCGGTGTGAAGAAAACCCGGGTGCTGAACAGCAGCTGGAATCCAGACACGTCCTCACAGCTGTGAGCATCATAGTGGAAAACTGGAAAGAGCCTGACTGCACAAAGCAATGATACAAAATTGTGCTCTCTTGAAACTTATTGATACTATTCTTGGTATCTTTTTTTCCCAACACCAAGAATTTTGTGAACAGTATTGAAGAGTTAGGTGCCATAGACTTAGGATTCCTCATAGTTATCACCAGGCACTTAGCGCTCTAACGATACTAACAATCAAGGTTCCTTAAAGAGCCATTGGACTAAAATGGGCACCTCCAGGAGGTGATTCAGTCCACTTAATGCAAACTTTGTGCCTCTTTCCATTGTCTCTATGGTAAACCCAAACACAGGAATGTAAGCCTTAGCTCCTGATCCTAACTAATGCTAAATGTGCCAATACCAAAATGAATAAAAAACAAACCAAAAAGTCCCCTCATCCAAAACGAGACACTGCTTTGCACATCCTTCTCCCCAGGAGAGGGCCAGAAACAACATTTTAATCATTTCCCAGTGCACTTCTGGAAGTTGCTCAAATACTATGGTGATGAGTTTGGTATGAAAACCTCTAGAAAGCTCGACACAGAGCTCAATTTACTACCTACAGTACCCAGCCAAGGCACTGTATGTTACATTAACTTGGACTGAATCCAGACGCTAGCAGAAACTAGCTAGTGCAGTGTTGCAGGTTCTTTTGTTTTTCTTTCTCTTTTTTTCTTTCTTTACGTGAGAACATCAAGGCTTCCTCCCCAGGCCAAACAGCCCGTACACTGGTTACAAATAATAGGTTTGAGCTTCTTTTAAAATCTGCTGAGATACCGAGCCTCTGAAATTTCTCAACTGTGTTCTTGAACATTAAGCACACGGTTATGACAGGAGGCCTGACTCTGCTCTTGTGACATTATACTGGTGTAAGTCAAAGGACTTTACTTCCTACATTACCCTTACGCACCTTAGATCAGAACTAGGTCCTTTTATCTTAGGATATCAAATACCCTCTTATCTAGTACATTTATCTAGTTTCTTGTACATGAGATAAAAAGCGTAAACTTCCTCTAAAGGGAGGTCTGCTTAATACTGTCATCAGAATGTTATCAGAAAAGTTAAATGAAGTCCAAAGGCTGCAGTCACAGGAAACCTTCAACCCTCCCCTCTCGACACTTCCATGGGAAGAACCCAGAGGATTTTTATTGCAGGTTGTTCTCCTGCAATGTATGGAGAGGATACATAAAGCATCCAAATCTTTCTTCACCTTTAAATTCCTCTGCTATCAGAAAAGCTTGTAGAAAGATATACAGGAGTCTCCTTTCACAGTCTCCCCTTTGTCTGATGTCTGTTCCTTCTGCTACTGGAAGAGAGCTAGCAGCTTTCTGTACACTTCACGGTCATTCATCTGAGTTATTTACCCTCTATAGTGCAAGACTCATATTCTTTCTGCTTCTTCCACCTGTGCCCCTTAAGGTCAGAAAGCCAAACAGCAGAGAGCATTACTAGTCTTGTCGTAAGGAGCTGAGTGCCCAAAGTGAGGATCCAGCACTGACAGTATTGCTGAAGAATGTTTCTTTTATTATATATTTTGCTGCTGCCCTTTATTACAGCTTTCTGTAGCTTTGAACAGTCTGAGACTGTACTTCAGGCATTGTATAATGATCCCACAACACTTGTCTCTGAAACACTTTTATTTTTTAAATCTATACCTGCATTTTCTTTAGGGTGCCTGAGACAGGAAAGGACTGAAACTCATTTTCCTACCCACAGGGTCCTTAGAGTCATACTTCCACAGATAAATGGACTGGGACTCTGGCTGCTAGCATCATCAGAATGAAAGACAACTCTGGTTTTGCAAGAAAGCCAATCCATCTTAGAGCAGACAAAACGTGGAGACTCTTCTAGAAATGATCCTGTATTGTCTTGTCTGGATGGCACTGATTAGATGGCATCACCCAAAGACATATGTGACAGACCTGGCTGTGCTGACCACGCCATGCGTGAGAGTACTCTCAGGGACCCCATGGGGCTGCACGGAGCTGAGTGCTGTTTCTTCTGCACCAACCCAGTCTCTTTATTTTAGCCTGGGAAAGTGGTTTATTTTACACTTCCCAACCCCAAGTGCTTCCTCTCTGTGAAGTGTCAGAGGTCAAAGACCAAAATCCAAGAGCTTTGAGTCTGTGCCTAGTTTCACCAGAGGATTAGCACTGCTAATCTCTGCATTATGGCCTGGAACATACAAAACCAAAATTACAAGGTAAGAAGCATGAGAGCTTTTAGAAATGCAGATAAAACAATATTGTGCTTGAGATAAGGGGAAACCAAGGGAAAGATCTAAGGAGGAGAACAAACGAAAATGAAAGAAACAGGTAAAAAAATCAGTTGACAATACTAATTCAATCTATGAATTGAAACATTTTCTCCCTCAGAAGAAACACAGAATCATAGAATCATAGAATCATTAAGGTTGGAAGAGACCTCCAAGATTATCGAGTCCAACCATCAACCCAACACCACCATGCCCACTAAACCATGTCCCTAAGCGCCTCATCTACCCGTCTTTTAAATACTTCCAGGGATGGTGACTCAACCACTTCCCTGGGCAGCCTGGTCCAATGTTTAACCACTCTTTCAG